CTGCATAATTTGAATGATTACCACATTGTGTTTGAAAAGATCGAAGGTTTTTCGGTATTTCATATTCATATCAGTCATATTTTAGTCTGTTTCATTGCAATAGTTTTTTGATCATAAAAATGTACACCAGTCATGTTTTATAGCAAAATCAGGATGAATCTCAAATTAGTTGCTAAAATCAGTTTTAAGCTTGTGCTTCATTATAATATTTATTGCATTGGATCAGGAGTTGTTAATCGTCTATATATTCGTCTAAAATGCTTGAACATGGTTTTATATATAACCTTTCTGATCCAGTGCAGTAAATATTATAATGAATTTAGAAAATTTGATTGCTATTCTTGTACTTTCAAAAGATACTTAATGTTAATGAATTTAAAAGAAAAATGAATAAAGTTTTTTAACATTTCAGTCACATTTCAGAAAGGTAAATTACTATTCTTGTACTATCTTAAATTGCTATTCTTATACTATCTTAAAGGGCTCATTTTGCAGGGATTTTACCAAAGATTTCTAATTGATTGAGATGATAGAACAGTCAAATTCTCTGCTTTTAAACGAAGAAGCATTAAAGCTTTGTACAGATTCCAAGAAGGCTGTGTTTGTTTACGAATGGTTACGATATCTTGATCGGATACTGCCTGCTGCACAAAAGGTATTAAATGTTTTATTTTTAATTACTTACTTATTTTTACTCCAAGTCATCATTCCTAGTTTTATTTTTAATTTGCACTTCGAATTTTGGAGCAAAAGATCAAAAAGAATGTCTGTTTTGGGGTTTATGCTATTTTTAGGACGATATAAAAACTGTACAAAAGCAGCTTGTTGGGCAGTTAACATCGCGTCTTTTAGCTACACCTGGGCCACCTACCAGAGAATTACTGGCGAAATGCATTGCACAAGTAATTCTTTCTAATTCATTAAATTTTTTTCTATATTCAGTTGTTGATCTTTAGTGCGTTAAAGATTGAATTTTTTCAATATTTAGTGTGTTATACATACTTGCTACAGAAATGTTCTTGAAATATTCACTGCTTCAGATATACTCAATTGGAGATACTTACAGTCTATTTGAAACAATTAATTCGTGTAATGATATTTTGAAAAGTCGAGATGATTCACCGACCTATCTTCCAGTCAAACTGTTAGTTTCTTTAACCTCTTAATAGACATGTCTCAGATGGTGGTATTCATCGTTTTTAATGCATACATTAAGAAGTAACTCTAGTGGAGTTTATTAATTCAGGGCAGCCTTGCGATGTCTAGGACAAATGTATGAAACTCTGGGTAGATTGGTAGGTCGAAGTTATGAAGAAACTTTTCATTATATGGCGAAGTGGTTGAAGAATGCTGAGGTTTTTTATTCACTTTACTTGACCAAAATTGTGTACTAGGTTTTACTGGGAAAGATGGTGTAGTGGTTTGGAGTATGAGTGAATAAATATATGTGGTGTGGTTCAATTCTTGGTAGAGTGTGTTTAATTGATGGTGGTGTGGTGAATAATAAATAACCTATGAGGATAAACACGACGGTCTTCCGAAAGTGCCATGTGGAAACCTCTGTTAAATTCTGAGGTACATTTTTAAATGTCATTGGTGTGTATAATTCTAATGTGCGTCATTTATTTCATATTTAATAAACTTGCGCAAACAATATCTCGGAATTTTGAGACTTTGGTACTCCATCATCATCTGCATTGGTTGCAATTTTAGTCGCAAGGACGTGCAGAAATACTACAAACTTATGCAAAGATGGTAAAGGGTTTAGGTATCGCCGCGTCTTCAGTACACAAAGATCTGTATAAAACTGTGAAGACACACATAGCTGACCGTGTTATGGCGGTTAGAGTAGCCGCTATAAATGTTAGAATTACATAATTATTGTTTGATCACAAGAACCTTCAAGTCTTTTTTGGCAATTTCTTCGTAAATACAGAAAAATTATGATACTCAAAGAAACATTTTTCACCTCCCTCCACCCTCTTCTTATTTTGTAGATTATTATTATTATTATATGCAGCTTTTTTTTATTTGCTAACAGTACATACTTGGTCATTGACTTTGTTTTTCCATCGATTAACACTTAGTCAAAATTATTTTAGTGTCTAACTGCATTAGTTTCGGAGTACTCTTTGTTGTACACAAACGAAGTTGAGAGCATCAGCACACTGTGTTTCAAAGCGCTTGAATCTAGTAATTATGAAGTACGTCTTGCAGTGGCTGAACTATTTGCTACATTATTTGGTGCTGCAATAAATCCTCCAAGACAGCATATATCTAGTATGTTGTTATTATTGAATCACACAATTAAATTGATTTTCGGGTCTTTCATGATAGAAAATGCTGGACATGAAACCGAGCAAAATTAAATTTTTCTCTGCTTATTTTATTGCAGTATGTATGAAATATTTAATTTGTAGTTCACAAGATAAATGAAAGTTCCATACGTTTTAGATTGATAATTTTTTGAAACATTTGCAAATTATGAAACTGTATTATTAGAAGTTATATTACCAATTTCTCAGTGTCTTCATATTACTATTATTAACTATGCAGCTTAAGTATCATTTCTACAAAAAGTCATGATTTATAGGTACAAGCAAAGCCCATCTTAGTGCAGCATCTCCAAAGTTGTTAACCATTGAAGATTGTTTGGGTGTTTTGTCCCATGGCTTTTTGAGAGGTGGAATTGGCGGATTTTTAAAAACCGGCTCTGTAGCAGTCACTGGAGGACAGAAGGAAACACGGATTGGAATTGCACTCGTATGTTTTGTTCTTTAAGAAATGTGAAAATTTCTAGATATACCGAAATAAAGCGAATACTAGTCAAATTTTGCCCATTTTCCAGGCATACGTGGCTTTATTCAAAGAACTTGGTCCGTTGTGGCTTGAAAAAAACGTTGTGATTATCATCAAACATTTAATGGATGTCATTGCAAAATGTGGACCACTAGCTTATACGAAATAAGTTTTGATTATTGTGAGATCAAACTTTTAACTCGCGGTTGTGAGAGGTGTACTTACAAAATAATTGCTTTGTTTTCAGCAATCCCTCTCAAGTTGTTGAGGTAGTTTTTATGCGTCGGTGTATTGGTTATGTTTTTCGAAGTACAGTTGGTACCATTCTTGGAGAACAAGCACAAATTGGTGTTTGCCGGCAGTTGGGTGCAGTGTTAGCTGATTGCATAAATTCTTTTGGTAAGTTTCTTATAGTATAGCTCGTAATTGAATTTCTATAAACTTTTTCGTAAATAATCTAATTTTCATGTTTCTCATTTTTTAAGTTTATAATTTAGTATATGTTTCATTCATTAATTCATTAAAAATTTGTGTCGTAAACATCGTTTATCTTTTGGAATTCTCTTATTGATTGTGATTTGACTCATTTTTATATTCATACTCCAACTTAGATCAATAATTAAATAATGAACTGACAGCATAATAATCAGTTTGATAACTACTTCATACTTTTCAAAAAGATATCGTTTCGTAGAGAATGTTGGTCAAAGTTGGCGATGCTTACACTCTCATGAAGCGTTTTTGAATGTCATTTTTATGTGTAAAATTTTGGTCAGATTTATTTACAGATTACAGTCTTGATCCTGGAGTCGAAAGATTGTTGGGGGCAGAGGCACATGCTAGTGCTCAAGTAGCAATCACTATATTGTCTGAGATCTCATGTTTGGTACGGCAAATTGGTACAGCAGTAACACCTTTGTTCACTGAGGCATCAGGTGCTTTTCTATATTCTGTTTAGATAGGATTCTATTTATTACTTTTTTAGAACTATTTATAAACATATTTTCATTTTTGCAACATATTCATCTTCACATTAAGCTGCTATCACTTCGTTATTATAAATATCGATAGCGGCAAACTCGGTTTTATATTTTTTAGTTTCAAACTTTCGAGTTTAATTATTTCAGTATTTATTCTAGGTATAATGGAGCCTGTTTTTGCTTGTTTGTTGCATCCAATTCAAGCTACCCGAATAGCTGCTGCATGGTGCTTGCGGTGTGTGACCTTTAGTGTCCCTTCTCAACTTGCCCCTTTAATTGATCGCTGTATTAACAGGTACTTTTTGCTAAGAATTTTATTGAACAAATCATGTGTGCTGCAAATTGTTTTTCCAGGCTAGAACATATGAAAAGTTGCAGTGATGCAATCAGCGGCTATTCGTTTGCATTAAGTGCTCTCCTTGCAGGCTCTTGTGAGTGCAAACTTGGTATTCCATATTGTAAATCAAGGTTTGATTTTCGTAATGAATTCAGAATGCAATTAGTAGTCTAATTTCATATTTTTTAGTTTCAAAATTCGTTACATAGTCTGATTTATAGTTTTACATGTTTTTCATCCTAGCAGCATTTATAGTTATAAGAATAAGAGATGGCGAGTTAATTTTTGATTCTCTGCTTTGTCAATCAGATCAGAAGCCAACAAATGTTTTATCATGATAACAAAATGTTTTCGTTTTATTTTTTCAATGTTGTATAGGTCATGAATGTTTTAACATGTGTAGTTTTGTAATCTTCCAAATTAAAAAAGGCAAAATTCATTTGCTATTTGATTTAGACAAGTCTTCACTGTAGCTGAAGATATGATAAAAACAGCTTCTCAAGCAAGCAGTTTAACTCAAGTGAAGTTGCAGTCTGGTTGGATCTTGGTCTCTACCGTTCTGAAATTTGGTAATATCTGTATCAGTTTTCATTTTCAGTCATAGTTTTTAACATATTTTTGAAGATTCAATGTTGAAAGCTCCTAACTTTTTTCACATTTTTCGCTTCTGTACCAAGGTTGTCTTTTGAGGTGGAACGACTGTGCAAGATTGTATGAGAAGACTGATACCATTATGGAAAAGTTCATTTCCGCGATCAGTAAAAGAGGCAGAAGTAGAAAAAAATCGTGGAGATGCGTTTACATGGTTGTGTACCTTAGAAGCTCGTATTGGAGCTCTAGCGTCAATGGCTATTTTCTTGGAATACTCTTCAGTTTCAGTGACTGATGATATTATGAAGAAGATTCTTTCAGCTGTGGAGTGCTCTCTTATTACAGTTTCACAGTATGGAATTTTCTTTAAAATATGATGAAAGTGATATGTAGCAAAGAAATCAATTTATTAACCATACTACTCCTTTTTTTACATTTATTTTTTTCAGCATTTCGGCATTGCTCAGAAGTTTTGGGACAAAATTGAGGACTTTGATGACACTTCTACGCATTCGGATATACCAGCTGCTAAGTCTTCTTCCCCCAAAATACTACGAACGTAAGTACCTTTTAATTAACTGATGCGAATTTAGTTTAAACTCCCATTAATCAGTTTGTTTATTATATAGACACTTATGCATCATTGTTACGTGAATTGGTTGCTGATCTGACTCTCTCTGATAATGGGCAGTCAACTGCTTGTACTTCGATGTTATCTTCGTTTTGTCCTGGTGTCGATAAATCGTTACTGAATGCATGGATCAGTGACACTGATCACGCATTTATTGAGTTAGAGGTTTGCTTTTCTTGCAGCAAATAATTTAAATTTTTTTGATTGACAATTTGTTACGGTTTTTATTTTCAAATTTATCGGATGATTTATATGGGAGTGAACTTTTTATTGTATTCAGGAACAACAAGGAAAACTTTTAATTCATTTTAACATAAAACAGTTTTATCTATTCATTGGAAATTAACGATTTTATTCATGTATGAAATTTCCGGTAATTTCTTGAAGAGAATTACTATAAGATACAAAAAAGAATTATTTTTTAACACATATTATTCAAATTCTAGATTCATACTTATAAGGTTTAACATTTTAATAGAAATGAAATATCGTAAAATATAATTTGTTTTCACTGCTTTTACCTGTTTGTGATTTTACTTTTGGTTTAGATGCATCCATCTCAAAATTCCGCTAGTGGCACCATCGATAATGATCCATTGTGTATTATGAAGTAAGCTTCAATTAAAATTGAGATCAGTAAACAAATTTGCTGTTTCAGATGACGCGAAAAAATCCCTTTGTTTTTAGCTGGCTTTTAATACATGTAATTATATTTAGTTATGCTTTCAATTTAATTGCATTTAATAATTGTATCTGATTCTGGTGATATTTTGTGATTCAAGAGTTGCTATTGATGATGCTTTATGGTGGCCGGAGCCATTGACTCATGCAGTGGAAGTGATCAACGCAGCAATTAATATGTATGGCAGAATATATCCTCAGGTTCCACTTAAGCATAAGCTCCAAATGGCTGAACATTTCGCTGAATGTGTCAGGGGTACCAGAAATGTTGCTCGACAGCAATCAGTAATGTTTATTCATTATCTCCATATGTGACATGGAAATTATTTTTTGGAATTTTTTGAAATTATTATTTTTTCACTTTTTGAAATTTCGAATATTCACCAATAATTTTAGGTAATTTCCATATTTTCACGATAGTTATCATTTTCATATTTCATTCAGTAAACTGCTGTGCTGTTATTTAACATCAAATTTCACTATTTAAATTTCCAAAAAAAATTACTTCATAAAATTTCGGTAAAAAAGAGAATCTCTTCATGTTATCAGTCAAAAATAGATTTTACTTTAAGTTTGGTGAATATAATATTTATGAAATTTATTTTTTGAACCATGTTCAGCAGATAAAATACGGAAATCTTCTAACTAATATAGTTTTAAATAAAAATATTGAGAAAGGTAGAATGCAACAAGGTTTTGGCTTCTTACAAATCATCATTTGAAGACTGATTAAGATTACTGTTCCTATATATATGTATATAAATCTGTTCGTTATGATTTCTGTAAATGTTTCAGATACAAAAAAATATTTTTGGCTGTTTACTTGCATCATTCAGAGCTGTCTCGGAACAAAAAGGGTTACGTTTGGAAGGTGAAGCTTTACAAAAAGCCAATATTGATCTAATTGTTCCATCTCTCTCACACGCAAACTCTCTTATAAGGTTAATTATTTTCAGTAAAACTTAATTTTTCTGGTTTTTATGAATTACCAAATTGATTTCAGATGTGCAGCAGCAGAAACACTGGGTCGTTTAGCCCAAGCTGTTGGGGATGCGCAGGTAAGATACTTCACTATGATCTCATTAATGTTTCATGTAAAATTTTTTATTTAATAGAGTAATTGCGTATTCTACATTTTTTTTTAAGCATCTTCATTTTTTCAAAACTCTTAGCTGTGGGATTAGAAGTCATTAAACTTTTAAAGTTTTTGGAACGGTGTTCAAATAATAAAACATTTTATTTTTGACACATTCGGCAAAATTTTTAGCCAGATTATTAAATTTTTGCGAAGGAAATCAGTTGTTAGTCTTGTTTCATTGTTTTCAGTTTGTGGCGAGTATGGCGCAATATAGCTTTGATAAACTGAAAAATTGTCGAGATGCCAACAACAGAACTGGCTATGCTTTAGCATTAGGATCCTTGCATCGTTATGTTGGTTCTTTGGGTAGTGGTCAACACTTGAATACCAGCGTTTCGATTTTGTTAGCTTTAGCGCAAGATGCTACTTCACCTTTGGTTCAGGTCCATGTTTTTAATTTATCGAAGCCTTTTGGTATTTTTATTTAAAATAATATTTATATAGGATTTGCACAGAAGCCTTCATCTTTGTTACTGTTTCGAACTCATATTTTTTTCAAGTCGTGGTCATTGGTTGCACTCAGTTTAATTGCTGATACTGGTGGTGGAATGTTCCGTGGATATGTTGAGCCTAGTCTGAGTCTCTGTTTAAAGTTGTTACTGGATACACCTTCTGCTAATGGTGATGTATTGCAATGTACTGGAAAACTTGTAAGTTCCATTCAAATCGTTTTTTAGTGTATGCGCATAGATTATCGAACTTTTTAAATGTTATAGTAAATTGTACTGTATTTTATCTCTGGTATTATAGAATAAATATTACGCAAAATTTTCGACATGATTCTGTACATCAAATAATGCTGCAATCATTACCGTATCTTTTTGTAGAAGTCATATCGAATTTTTTTTAAAGTTATTTTAGTTGATTTTGAAGATTTAATATTCAAATCAATTTTCTAGGTTTAGTATTTAATGAATAAATTTAGGTATCTGCATTGATCAACACAATGGGGCCCGAATTACAACTTGTAGGTGTTGTAGAAGGAACAAGAACATCATTTTTGATTGGTTTGTCTGCGTTCATTGCTTAAAGGCTTCAGTTTTACTTTATTTCTATTGATCATTGCTATATTCATCGTTACTGATTTTTTTCAGTGCTTGTTTTTTATTATTGTAACTGTTTATTACTTTAATTTAGCGAGTGTCATGATGCTCAACAGCAATGATTTTTTGGTTCAAGCGGAAGCAGTGACCTGTTTACAGCAACTTCATCTTTTTGCCCCTCGACATGTCCATCTTGACTGGCTTGTTGTTCGACTTTGTGTGAGTATTCGTATTTTTTGGTAATATATTTGTCGTTGAATAGTGCAACCTTTGAACTGCAGTTTTTTTAAAAGTTGATAAGCGGTATTTCATCCAGCAGTTGACAATTCTTTAACTGGTTTTTTTTTAATATTTGCAGAAACTTCTTTCAAGCCCACACTTAATTTTGCGGAAAATTGCCGTTTGTTGTCTGAGACAACTCGTACAGCGTGAAGCGAAAGAAGTTCGAGAACATGCTCAAAGTCTTGTACCGCAGGGTATTATAAATAATGTGGGACGAAACAATATGGAACAGGCATTGCCAGAAACAGGTTTAGAGGGTGCTCTCCTGGCTATGCTTGATGTAGAAACAAATGCAAAGCTCATACAAGATGCTAAAGTAGGAGTTCATGAGTTAGCACTATGTTTGGTTTGGAGATTTGAAGAATAATGAAATGCATGACAAATAGTAATTGCATAATAGCCTTTTATTTTTCATGGTACTCGATTTATCTATTTTTTTTGTCGGCCTTTCCCATTTTGTTACTAATGATTTTGCGTTTTTTAAATTAAAATATAGAAGCCCAAAGATTCTTTTATTTGTTGACATTCTTGAAAATAATGGGTTCACGATCAATTCATTTGAGTACTAATAATGTAATTGCTGGGCCAGTAAAGTTGTTTTATTGCTGTTAATGAATGATATGAATATTTAGGAAACGTTAATTTCATTGGTTCAAGCAACAAGTAGTGATTTGCTTACATATTGGTTGTCGTTATGTAAAGATATCTTAGCATCATGTATGGGTGCTGATATTCGGAGTACTATACAAATAGAAGAAAAAGGTATCGAAGGTGTTGGAGATGAAGAAGATGAACATGAGGTAGACTTATTGTTGCTTCTGATGTTTCCTGATTGCATAGTAAAGGTTAAAACCTCAGTTTGGAACGGGTTTTTAAAACATAATATCTGATGCATACAAATAAAGGTTTAGTCAGTCGAGTTTTTTTTCTCCGTTCCAGAGCTTAGATGATGATGTAACTTTGAAATCAGCATCCGCTCGAGAGGAGAAAACAAAAGTAATTCCACGGTGGCCTAGTCGAGTATTTGCCACAGAAATTGTGCAGAAAGTTATGTCCGTTTGTGACTCAGAAAGGGCTCATCTTGATCTTGCTCTTGCTAAGGAGTTGCAGGTGAATTTTTTAAAGTAAAATTATGAATAAAATTTGTTTTTTTTTAAATTTGCAAGTAGTGTGCATTATTATCTTAAAACTCACTTTAGAACTAAGTATTCAGAAGTTTGATATTTAAGTTTTAACTGGCGTCGTTTGTCAAAAAATGTACTGCGAAATTGAATTTTCAAGGAATTTCTAGGAAATATTTCAGATTTCTTCCGGTGGTCGAACTGATTACTTGGTACTTCATTTATCAGATTTAGTGAGGATGTCTTTTATGGGAGCAACGAGTGACAATACCAGTTTGCGTCTTGCGGGGTTGGCATGCTTGCAAGATGTGATAACTAGGTTTTCAGCTATTCCGGAACCTGAGTTTCCAGGACATGTCATTCTGGAGCAGTTTCAAGCTCAGGTTTGAGTGTTTTTGTCGTTATCTTAAAAGTTCAACCGACTATTTTGTTTTGCAAGTTTCCGTTACTGTAGGGGTCAAAATTTTTCTGTCGAAAGTTTTTAAAACGGTTTCTTTTACTAAATTTACATATTTAAAAATTTTTCTGCCATCATGGTTGCCAAGCATTAACATCAAAAACTATTTGTCATTTATGTTTAATATATTTCTTCGTAGATATTATTTGGTGATACTTTAGGTGGGAGCTGCCTTACGGCCAGCATTCACTGCAGACACTCCTAGTGATGTGACTGCTGCTGCTTGTCAAGTTTGCAGTACATGGATCGGCAGCGGTGTTGCTCAAGATCTTAATGATTTACGGCGAGTTCATCAGGTATTAAGTTCATAAATGTATTGTTTTGAAAAATTTAGTTCAGTGTTTATTGACTCTCCTGCCTTCTATATATCCACCAATTTATCAAGAAATATCGATATATCCGTTCTTACACACATGGGTTTAAAGTATAAGAAAATGAATTCATTAGAATTCATGATCAAAACTTTTAAGATTTTCAACTTTTGACACTAATTTTTATCAAACTGGTAAACGCTAGCCTAAACCTTGGTATACAATATTTCATCTTCAGCTTTTGGTTTCGTCACTCGGAAAACTTACTCATCGCTCAATAAATACACAGCTTTATAGCGAAAGTGCTGCTACGCTGGAAAAGTTGGCAATTTTAAAAGCTTGGGCAGAAGTTTATATCGTTGCTGTCGAACAAGAAAAACGAAAAGAAGTCAATAAGGCTGCAGCTTTAAAAAGTAATTTCTCACTTCTTTATGAAAGAATTACTTATTCTATATTTTTGATATTTCTATTTTTTGATCATGAATCACTGAAATCAATGGTAGCAGAACAACATTCAAGAGATTAATTCTAAAAGAATTTGATTTTGTGTAAAGTCCATTTAAGGTAGTTGTCGTAATTTTTTGTCAATGTTTTCTGAAACACCATGCTCGAAAATTTGGATGTTTTAACATTACAAGTACTGTGGTAATTTCTTCCAACAAATAATAATATATAGAATACCTGCATAATCCACTCATGAATTTTAGATGGAGAAGAATATATTTCCTCTCAAGAAAGTTTATTGAGCTTGGTTTCTCCTGAGCTTAGTTCGTTAATTGATTGCTGGTTAGCAGCATTGCGCGATTCAGCTCTTTTGTCACTTCCTCCTGAATTTAAGTCTCAGTTACCAGTTGAAGGTGGAGCGTACTATATTGCGGAATGCGCAGATGTAATTTTCTCTGCATTAGCCAAGTATTAGCGCTTAGTATATAATATCTTTGTTTAACAGTGATCACAGTTTTTATTTTTGATTACCAACTGTGACCTATATAAGAATTCTTGTTTTAGTTTTGCAAGGAATATTATCGAGCAAGTTGGCCTTCAATATTATTAGCCGCCTGTACATGGCTCAGGCAAAATAATTTCGTGCTTCAACAGCACGTTAATAATTTGAAGGTTTGTTTTGAGTTTTCAGAACCTTATGGTGCTTTTTGGTTTTTCAGCACATGCTTTCAAATAAAATTTTTCTAGGACATTGAAATGGATGAAGTCAAAGAAAGTCATTTTCACATAATGTTGGGGATATGTATGGAGACTCTTTGTTCCAACCGCACGCATATTGAGGGAGATTTAACAGTTCAAGTAATTTGCAATATATTTGGAATTGTTTTATTATTTGATTGTTTCTTTTTTAGCTTTGATTCTATATTGTCAGAGTGAAGTAATGTTAATTGTTATTTTTTGGTATGTTCCATGCTTCTTTAGTTCTGTTTGCGATCACTGAAGAATCTTTTGGGATGCAGTTGGTCGCAAACATCCCTAATGAGTAGTGCTCGTTTACCAGTTGAAATTATAAATGTGCTTTACAGGTATAATCATTTCAACATGGTATTTACTGAATTGTCAAGTTGTTTTACGATTCATGAAGTTCTTTTGTGATATATTGTTTGCCTTATTTAGCTATTTCACTTATAAGTAATTTCAGGCTAATTTTAACTCGAGAAAACTTGCGAACTCAACAACTCTGTGCCGAGGTCACAATGACAATACTTGATGCTGCACAGTACACAATTGCAGTGGAAAAAAAAACAGAAGGTTTCTCATTTGGAGTGGAGTAATTGTAAATTTTGTTCAAGATCAATTTTTTTGATACACTGTTTTTTGTCAGGAAATGAGGATAATAATATGTTGAAACAGCGAAAATTTGACTTCTTCAAAGGTTCTGGTAGAGCAGAAGGTACTGATGGTCTACTGTTAACTGATTCGTTGGCATTCGCTGTTTTGGAAGTAGCTCTTTGCATTTTGGTTAGACAAGTAAGGTTTTAGCTAATATAATGTATAATTTTATATCTTTCAGCATGCATTTGGTTGGTAACGATTTTTTTAAAAGGTTTTTAGGTTCCTCAGATAAATTCGGTTTCAATGAAGAGTAAATCAACAGCTCCTCTTCATTATCGAAAATATTCTCGCCTTCCTCTAGAATCTAACACTCTCATAAAAGTAAGTTCCTACTTCAATTCATTTTCAGTTATGAAAATGAATGCGATGTAGATATCATTTTAAATATTTCGAATATAGAATACATCAGCAGTCTTGGTTTTTCAATCTTGCTCAAAATGAAATCAAAAATTTTGCTTGCCAGATGGGTCTGGATATTCTTACTCGTATTCCAATGCTGTGTTCACCCGATGGTGTTGTTGTTGTGCTCCCAAGCATTCTGTATCTCATTCTAGGAGTTTTGCGTGAGTCATGCGTCATTGATAAGGTTCTCTTTTAAAATTGTTGTAAAAGAAAACTTTCATTCTATCAGTTTTAGATATTGCAAAGTTTAAAATTATTGATCTAAAGTAACATTGAAACATATTACAGGATCAGCTGGTACCTGATGCTCCATTCGGACACGTCTCTTTGGCTGCTGCTGCAGCCATGCAGGTTATAGTCTTCAGTAACGTTGTTTTATAGCAGTTAGATGTAGCACATAAAGATTTGAGTATTGTTTGGAATCTAGTGCATTGTTATTTGTACTCATTGTTCTTTACTAACCTATGGCTCAAATTAATTAGTTTTTATGCATTACACTTTTTTTAAGCAATATTTTAGGGATTGAGAACAATACTTGCAGCAGTTCCTAATGACTCAACTTTTTTAAAATGGACGTTGGTGATGAAAAGTGCTTTAATTTCTATGTTAAATATGGCAGGAGGTATGTTATTGAAAAAATTTATCTCTTTAGTAAAATGCTGGCTTGAAAAACCTTTTATTGAAGATATTTACATGTACTTTTAGAAACTATGATTAATATTATAAATTGCTTCGATTGATTTCTCATTAGAACTCACTTCACTTTATAACGGTTTGCTTGTTAGTCAAAATATGTTTTATTTTCAGATCTATAGAAACAGAATATTATTAATGAATACGAATTAAAAATGTTCAGCATTGGATTTATTTGGATTTGTCAGATGAGATAACTGATTTTTTGCAGATAATAAAACTGATTGTGCAGTCATAATGTTGGCGGTCGCTGTTTTTGTCACGTCATCTCCACGCCAAGTGGTTATGGGTAGCAAGAGTCTTCTGACTAGAATTTGCAGATTATTCGAAACATGTTTAGAAAGTGAACATAAGCAGGTAATAATTACTTCCAATTTTTAGGACAAGTTTTAAGAGGTGCATGCTAAACATGTCAAATCCAAGCTTAGCTGCGCGCAAATCAACTCCATAGTAAGAAATTAGCCAAGTTTCAAGAGGTCCATCGTAACTAAAATTTTGTAAAAATTCATTTTATCAGAACTGACGGATTCTTTTTAACTCGTCAACCGACGATGTATTATATTTTCGATAGGTGTTATGAAATATAGATATTTCAAATTTAACTCATTTTGAAGTTTTAGCTTGATTTTCTTATTGCAGGTGGTTATAAAGTGCTTACAAAGCTTGGCGTCTATTTTCAGTCGACGTGAAATATGTTATCCATTCATTGCAAAGCTTGTTCCAAAAGTTTTGAACAAAATCCGACCTTTTGTAGCCGGTGTTTCGCAGGAAGATGTAATTATTCCAGAATCTGATGATGATGTGGCTACTGTACAAGAAGCTATACGCGTATTAGAAATTGCGCTTTCGGTTGCGGAACAAAACAAACGTGAGTTTTCCACTGTAATCAGTGATCTGAAGAGCTTCTTAATAATATTCTGTTTATATAGGTGTGGTTATGAAATGTGTTGTGGAATGTGTTGTGATCTGATGTGTTGTGTAAATGTGTAGCAAATCAAGTTATTAACTTCCTCGTTAAATATTTTTTTCAGGATTAGCGATTGTCAATCTTGTTGTCCAGGTAATAGGTTCATTTTTGTGTGAGGACCCGGCAACACGCTACAGACGATTGACTGTTCCTGAGCGTAAACTTCATGATTTTGCACTGAATAGATTGAACGCTATCGGTCCTTGCTATGCAAAAGAATTCAAAAAAGTGCTCTTCTCCTTTCCTGAACTGAAATCAAAGCATGTCTCCTTCATTTTTTTGTTTCTGAACTACGTACTTCCAGTGACTGATGCATTTGTACTATCCATTAGGGTATTAATCATTTATGTATAACTGGTGTAAGTTGGAATTGTGAGATCTACAGCAAAACTATTTTTTGCATACGTTTTCGTGGAATACTGCACCATTTTTAAGAAAGTGAAATTAAAATTTTTCATATTCAACTTCTCTTATTCATCTATTGTTCCTTATAATCAACTTTTTACAGAATAGAACTATCAGTACGCCATCAAACAAGTCGTTCAGCAGCTGCACAACAAACCCAGCTTGCTGTCAATGGGAATTGTGTTAGAAAATCACAACCAGCTTCGAAACGTACTGCTATAGATTTAAAAATGGATTTTAGTACTTTTAGTGTCGCTAACTGATATATGAAATTACAATCTTACTAATGTAAATGAAGATTAACTGAATGAATGCAGCATGCAGTTTGCTAGTTACTATACTTTGTGTACTTCACACTGTAATTTTAATCGCACATCACATTCCTCCCCAATCAAATGATTACATTATTATTGAGACCACGTCGGTATACCTAACTTGTTATAGATTATATCTTTTTTATATATTTGTAATGAATTACACTTACCAAATGCTAAGCCTTGTTTCTGCATTTTCGTTCTGCCAATTGGACTAGCAGTTATAAGCTACTTCAGTTTATGACCGCATTTTAAAGCTCAGAAATCTAGCTTCGCTCGGAATTTATGCTACGGACCTGAATGTTAACGAAGCATCACAATATTCGCATTTGCTTCACAATCTAGATATGTTGTCTTTTATTCCGGTGCTATGACAAATATTTCTCGACTATGCTGACATGGTTTGTTATGTGTAATTTAATACACAACAAATATCATAAATGAAGAAACAATCCTCTTCAAGCGATTCTTAAATTTCAGTGTATTTTGAACAACACCCCTCATATGTTTATTGGTATTACCAAGCTGTTCAGGAACTTTCTTACAAATATACATATGCAGAAAGGCAGAATTACAGTATTCAAAATGAAAACTGACGACGAAATTAGTCAAAATTCATTTCCTGTAGATGTTGGACGAGCAGTTTCCTAGCTTCGTCTTCCTTGTCTAGTTTGATGTTTATGTAAACACCAAGAGGTAATGCTTCTGGAATTCTTACTCCTTGTTCTTTCCCAAGCTAAATTACGATAATGTAAATAAACAAAGAAAATTTTGAAGTTAACAACCGAAGGCTTTTTATCAGTCTACATTAAGATCCAATTATTAAAAGCAGTTGCATTTCTTTGATAATGTCCAAAGTGTGTTAAACAAAACAAACGATACAAGAGAGAAAGTCAAGAAGGCCTTATGGAAATTGCCACTCAAAGCGTTCAATAAAGCTTGATTGTAAACAACAGCGGATACTGTGCTGGGAATTGAATGAATTGGTATAGCCAACGTCAAGCACTCTAAAGCCTCTGGTAAACGATTCAGAAGTACAAGTGCTTCTGCCTAAAACATGAGAACATATGGATCAGCAAGTTTCAGTAGAATTAATGACGATACAAATGGAACTATAACTTTACTTTAAAAAGCACGGCCATTAGCTGATGATGAGCGGAGATCTGCGGTAAACAAGCAAGATGACAAGCGGCTTTTAATGCCAAGCCATAGCGACCAAGATTTAAGTCAACAAACGCGGATGCGGCATATAACCATGGCAGTAAATGATTATATTCTCGTTTTGTGCCTGCTAGAAGTAAAGCATTTCGAATACAAATCGCAGCATATTCCCAGCTGATTTTATTTTCACGAACTACTTCATTTGAACTGTAAAACATATTTAGATTAATATAGTTAGCAAAATTACGTATGTTGTCGAATTAACTTGACACTACTGGCACCTAAATTTGTTAGTGAATCCTCCACAGTCTACAGTACATCTGTTTTTGCTGCAAAAAAACAAAAGAAAAAGAACACTGAAGTCTAGAAGCAAGTCACTCATGCCAATCACTTGAGTAGATGATAGTTGGAAAGTGAATTTTAAAGCAGTATTAGTAATGTTTGAAAAACAAAATAATTACTTTTTCTCACTGATATTAGAAGTAGATGGAAAAATGATAAATCCATTTTCTGGTTCTCCTATAATTTCTATTGATGGTTCCTCACTTTCAGCTTCACCCTACAAAAAAAACATACGATTAAATTAGATTAAACTCGCAGCATAATAAAAAGATAGGAAAGTAAAGATACTACGCAATGCCTAGAAAAGTGCCATGATAACAAAAAGTAATTAAAAAAATCTGATGCATAAAGACCATTTAATAGGGAAAAAAATAGTCATCTATGACGAACAAAAAATTATGCAATAAACCTCTGTTAAAACTTGAATACAGCACTCCGCAATTCTTAACCAAATACGAGGCTGTTCAGCGTAAAAAGGAAGAACTGCAAGAAAAAGTGTGAAGGCAGATTCTGCTTGTCCACAATGTAACTGAGTCAGAGCTGCGTGATAAAGTATACAATATCTAGGAATTGTTGATTCTTGACGACTAAAAAAAGTAGATTCAATATCGTATGATTATTTGGACTGTCAGAAAGCCTATGTTTTTGTCGTTAAAATTAAAAAGCAAGCAGTGATTTAAAATATGTTTCTTAGTATTTAACCATAATTAACGCAAAAAGTTTGTTTCACGTACTATAGTGCTTCCAATAAGCACAGAAAACGATGTTTACGGAAAGCACCACAGCGACAAAACACTAAAAACTTAAGTTCTAAGACTAAATTCCATATTTACAATATTTGTAAAAAAGAGTCGACGTAACCAACAAACCAGGAGGAACACATATATATATATGAATAAAAATGAGCAAAATAAATAAATTCTAGAACATTATTAAGTCGAAAGAAAGAAATATAAGTCACTGTCAAAAACAAACACTCACTTGTTTTTTTTTTGCTTGACCAACATTGCAGAACGAAAGTATGAGTCAGCCAAACTGACTTTTTTAAGTGATAATGCGTAAATGCATCCAAGTGCATTGTCTACAAGCCTACGTCCTTCATCCTTGAAAATGGCATGCGTGGAATAAATCAAAATATCTCCATTATGTTTATCAAAAATAGTTTATTCACATATTTTGTAGCTTAAAATAAACAAGTACCATCAGGACAAAGAATTAAAAATTTGAAATTTTTTAACCACATCAAGAAACCATGAAGTACTAAAAATATTTCCAGAGCTTCATTTTAATATTACCTGTAGTGAAGGACGACGCGCTAAAAGTCGATTTACAGCATGCAATGAATTTCCATTTTTCATGTCGCATTCTGACTGTATTAGGCACCAATATAATGACTACAACTAGAAGCAAATCAGAACAACAAATAATAATCTTTTTTTCTACAAATTTTAAGTAACAAAATCAAACCTCGAGTTTTGAACTGTTGATATCTGTATCTGGCACAGTTTTGTAAAGAAGACAACGTATACGAGAATCTAGACAATCGAGATAATCACGCTGAATAACACTTGCTTTATGCCATTTAGGATTGTCACGAAGATTGGTAACTTGTTTTAAAGCAAGTTTTGACTGACGTGACGCCAAGCTCACTTCAATTTCTAATAGAGAAACGGCACAAAATACGACATCTGAAATTTACCAAGAACCAGAATGATGATGAAACAAGCAAAAGAAAAAAACTTTAATACATGATATTTTCACATTTTCAACTACATGAAACATATATACCATCAATGAAATTTTACTAGCCTGACAAAGTCTGCGTGGACAAGAGCGAATGTATCAGCTCGAGACAAGTCCGATGATTGTATCGCCCGAATGCATTTAATGCTAAATTAAATGCTGCCACTGTTTCACAATGATGTTCCAATTTCAGAATTTCACCCGATTGCTGGAACTAAAGTAAAAAAATTGAATAACCAAACACTCATCTTCTTTGCTCAAGAAGCAAAAATGCGTACTTTAGGGAAAATATCGCAGATAGCTAATTTGTAAGCAAGACCAAAAAATTCCGCTTTGCTTTTTGCCTCACATAACGCTAAATTAGCTCGTAGACAACATCTTAGAATATTATCATTTGATTCTTTTAACATTCCATTCAGCAGTTCCATACATTTATTAAAGCGACGTTTGTTGTATGACTGCAAAATATAAAAAGCATTACTTGTTATTCTTAATGACACTGATGATGACAATCATTATGCCGAAATAATGATAATAAATGAGATGAATTTAAGTGTGACTATTCTGCTATACGTTTTCGTCAAACAACGTAATGAAGTTACTTACTTCTGAGCATGAGTTTACAGCAGTTGATAACGTAGTAACGGGTGACGCTGATGGTGATGGCAATGGTGATGATGATAACAAGTTACCAGAAGGATCCAAACAAGCAGTTTCTGCATCCTTCATATTACACCTGTCTGTAAATATATTGATAAAACATGAAATAGAGAAAAATATGGGAATGAAGACTAATGTTATCAAAAATAGTAATTATTGAAAAATCGTGTATCACTGTCAATATTTAAAAATGATTATTAAAAAATAAAACAATAAATGAATACTTTATAACAATTATTTATATTATTCTAGTAAGTTGTACAATTTTCGTGATTCACTTGTTTCATCACTGACTGTATATTTATCACCTTGAAGCAAGCAATGCAGGTGCTAGAAAAAGTGACATAAATAAAAATTGACGTACATAGTAAGCGTGTGAAAATCATACGATGGAGATACTTATTTTTTAACAGACTTCAATAATGAAAAAGAGATTTAATGAGGGATCAAATTTGCATTTTTTAAGATTTATTATTCAATTCATACAACTAGAAATTGTCGCTAATTATAATCTTACACTTTTCTCTTCAGATTCTTCATTTAATATGAAGAATCTGAAAGAGTAAGAGGAAGTAAGTGAATAAGTCTTTGACAAGAACGTACCGACTAAAGAATTGGAAACAATAGTAAATGAGACAGAAGAGAAGTTAAATTTCATAACGCGAATAAATTTAACGACGCTTTAATTTGACGTAAAAATATCGTAACCATACCAGTTTTTTAATTAAAACTTCCATTTAATTACGGAAGTAAATGTAATTGAAATTGTCATTGGATGAGATTGGACACTGTCCGTAAGAAGAAGTTTTACGTTTTGCGTAATGTATGTTTGGAAGAGAAGATTATTAACACGTCGAAGAAGTAAAATTAAGAGAAATCTGTTGCAATTCACCGGAGTGTTTCTGATAATCCTTGTTAAGGTCACTTGAGATATTCGTAAAAACGTTAATATTTCGAATAGATTTGTATTAGGCCGTTAGATATTTGGAAGTTATTTCTTTACTAGTAATAAATTGCCAAAATTGACTCCTTCAAATAGCCCAAAATTCTGTGAATACTGACAAGTTTTATATATTTTATAGCTATCAGTCAAATTTAATACGCTACAATGAATTTGAGATTCTAAAAATTTTAAATTACGTGAATACTACACGTATGTTATTTTACAGTTGTTAATTTTTTAGTTTGAATAGATTTGTCGATTTTCGAATTTAAAAACATTTTTCAAATTTTATCTACGTAATATTTATCATCTAGTTTACAATAAGCACAATTAGACTATCACTTACAAGGATTAAGCGTAAATAAGCAAATAAAAAGTTGTTTACTTTATTAAATAGAAATCAGTATTAAAAACTTACAGTACGTCAAAAACAAACAAAGAATAAATAATGCATACTAATTTCTTGATTTACGTATATCAAATGTAAATTAATTTCCTCTCAGTGGAAATTAATTCATTCATATAACAGAATTATTCCAATTGCATATCCTAAAATACTTGAAATAGACTTATAATAAAAGTGTTAAGATTATAAATATTATTTATTTGCTTCAGATTATCGAAGATCACGTTTACGACTAAAATTCAATGGTAGTAATGGAACACCAGCAAGGAGAAAGTTCGTTTGCAACTAATCCATTAAATGAGAAAAATATACATCATCTTTGTAGATCAATATTCAAATTAGAATTGGTCAAAAGTTATGAAAACTAATCAAGACAATCAGCAGGTTCTTAAATTTTTTATTGTTTTCAGTTTTGCGTCTTTCACGTTACTCATTCACGTCGGTTGTTACACAAAAAATGAATACTTAAGCGATTTGAGAGTAATCGCCGAATTTGCGAGGTTCAAATCTTAAGTTGTTGCCATATAATGGCCGTATGACAAGTTCTGCTGAAACACGCATTTGATCCGTACGCAGTTTGGATTTTACTTTTAGATGTTTCATCAGTAGTGCCAAAACGCATTTTTCTTCCATAATTGCAAATCGTTGGCCTACAAAAAATATATTTAAAAAAAATAAAAAGTGTTGAAAATTGCTTACTTTTATTTACGCTATATAGTTTGTCACTAAAATTTAATATTTTCCTTAGATACACAACTCCAAATTCTAAGTTTTTGACTGTAAAGTCCCCAAAGTGCCAACGACACTTTTCCCTAATAAATATTTTAAATGTATTACCTATACAGTTTCTAGCACCAGCAGAGAACGGAATATAGCTATATGGATGCTTCAGTTCACTGCTTATGAATCTTTCTGGTTTGAACACTTCCGGATCAGGCCAGTATTTTGGGTCACGATGTACCATTGATGCTATGATTACAACACCTGTTCCACTCGGTAGAATATTATTTCCTAAAATTTGATATATTGAATACTTTAGCAACCTTAAAGTACAAAATATTTATACTGTAAAGGTTGAAGCAAATTAGTTTTTATGTGACGCTTTGTTTTCATTATTAAATAAGTCAACAAGTAAATGAATGAATATAATTGCTGATGATACTACTTTATTAGTATTTACTGCTTTTTTACAATAATTAGATCCATTAATTTTACAAAAAATTCGTACAGAAATTAATTTACTTTTGCTAAACTGAGCATTTATTTAATTATCAGAATGGAATCTTAAATTTTATCGTCTCAAAGTTAAGCTGAATTTTGTTTTACCAATTTTTGTATCCTCAGTTAAAAGTCGAGCAATGATAGGCACACTGGGAAACATACGTAATGTTTCTTTGATGCAAGCTTCCAAGTATTTAAACTGTCCAAGATCTTCGTATGTTACGTATCTATCTTCTGTAATATTTTTTTGAAAACATAATTTATCAAAAGTTTGTAAAACATTGAAATTATAGGCTTATATCATAATAACTTAATTTTTTGCTACCTAACCTTCTCCTAAGATCTCATCGACTTCCCTTTGAACTTTTGCTTGGATGTCAGGATTTGTACCCATCAAGTGAAGAAACCAATTCATACTTGCTGATGTTGTGTCATGCGCCTAAATCAAGCGTTTTAACAATTCAATTTCTTGTTTAACATTAGTATTATAGAATTCTTTTCATTTTGCAAGTACTAACTTCAAAAGTAAACGTGTCCACTTCTTCCTGAATACCTTCCAGCGATAAATAACCTTTTGCATGCATATCAAGCATTAAGTCAAGAAATGCCATACGTCGTTTACCTAAAACTGAATATTACCCATTACTGATTAAGTAAGCACCATAAATTTGCAGTAATTACTGCTCAATTATTATTTTTACGCAAGTGGAAATGTCATTAATAGAACTTAACAGCAGAGGCCGTTTCTGTTTGAACGAGTTTGTCAATGCCACCAGCTTCATCTGCCATTTTTTTACGATTTGCAATAGCCTTAACTTTTGATAAAAATCATTCAGTAATTTTTTAACCATTTATAGAAAATTATATAATTATTATTATTTGAATTCAAATAGCCAATTAGCGCACCACGCCAGTGAATTCATGTAGTGCCTCAATGCATTTCAGTTCTTCTTTGCCAGTTCCAAACCAATTATTAAATATATCTGAATAAAATTGTGCCTTCAGCGTACGTTGATGAATCATGTATTTCATTCTGAAACTTATCATTTCATCGAATTGTATCACTACGCAATTTTTATGTTTTGAAATTGAAATTAAATTGCAGAAACAAACTTCCAAACTGCATCTAAATAAGGAGATGGTTTGTTCTGAGCATCGACATGAGTTCCAAGAGCGGCTTCACAGATCACGTCAAGAGTACATAGAGATATGGTATGAAATATTTCGTTGTAATGTTCTCCACACATTTTTTGAAATTTGCTTAAAAGAGTTCGTCCGTGTTTATTGTATACCTAAAAAATTATCTGATCTACCAACTATAATTAATACTATATTATTAGTAACAAATTAACCAATTTTTAATTAGCAAAATTATTAAAAACTACAGTATTTTACTCATTTGTAGTTGCATATGCAGTACTGTTGTGTAGTATCACTCTCTGGTGGTTGGATTTCGTTTACTAATGCTAAAATTTGGAAGTTGTTACTGCTCAATTAGGCTAGATTTTTAAGTCAGATTCATGAATTTCCACAAGAATTGTCTACTATTTCATACTAAAGTTTGGTATCTTCAACGCAAAAGCTAAATCTTTAGCTTAGATCCATTAACTCTTATAACAGTAATCTCTCTATTTAATATGAAAATTAACTGTAATTATTTCTGATGCATTTATCTTAATCTCATAATCTCAATGCTGAGCATTTTTGCCATATTTTATTATGCGCTTAAGAAAATATTTCAGATTTTGTACATTTTTATCAAATATATCAGTAAAAAATATTTCAGTTTTTGTACACATTTTTGTAATTTCTAACTTGCTCACATCAATAAAATCCTTCAATATATCGTAATGGAATGTTGGCGTTAGCAATTTTCGTCTTCTTCTCCACTTTTTTGGTTCACTGCATAAAAATAACAATAATAACGTATAATTATTCAAAAATTTTTAGTTGCAGCAAAATTCTGTTAAAAAATATTTGGAAAAAGAATTGAAACTGTTTGTTTCAATTTTGAATTATTTTTAAAAAAATAAGAATATTATATTCTATATATTTTTATTTTTGTAAATATTTTATAACAATTTTTATTAAATTATTGTAAAATGTTACTATGACTATTAATTGAATTATTAAAAATTTCATTTAATTTATTTGATTTCTTGAATTAAAAAACCTTATAAGCAATCCTTGTCCAATCCAGCCACTTAAAAGATTGTACTGAAGTGGTTTTTTTAAAAGTTTATGACTGCCGAGTATAGCTTCACATTCTTCTGCTCCATACAATAAAACCCATGGCCATGGACCAAACCAAATACGGCTAATTCGTTCTTCTCTATTTTGTAGCATATAAGCTATGCCTTGAGCTTGTTCGAAAAATTCTGCATATAGAAATTTGGTTAAAATTTTTTTTGATTATTTATTCTTTAATAAATAAATTATAATAGACTATTTTTTACTAAAACTTATTAAAACATAAATTTATGCAAATATTGTTTCTTGTAAGCATTCCCATACATTTTTAATAAACGTTCTGTTAATTAATGCTTTTTATTAACCAAATTTTAATGGACATTGTAATTTTTAGTCTATTTACTGTTATTTTCATCAGCGAAATTATCCATAAAAAAGTTTTGATACAAATTTTTGTTCGTATTTTCGGTCTTTCGGCGAATAAGAACTTTTTAGAACATTCAATTGAGTATTAAATTAAATGTGCTGAAAATCATTCAAAACTGGTAATTTTGAGAAAATAATTATTGTATTGTGTGCTCTGCACTACTCATCAAAACATCTGTATTC